GGAAAAATTGTTTGTTCAAACACTCTTGATAACAGACTTCTTCTCGCTTTTGAGGCTTTATTACCTGAAATCAGAAATTTACTTTTCCAAAATTAGTTTTTTTTCTTTCTTTCTTTTTTTGAAATCAAATTTTTTCTTTTCATCTAATCAAAATCTCCAATTTTTTTAATAAAAAAAATTTCCAATAAATCAAATCATTTCCAAAAAATTGGATTTCATTTTTGTTTTTAAAAACAAATTATGATTTGAAAGAAGAAAAGAAAAAAAGAAAAAAGAAAATTATTTAAATGAAGAATATTCTGAATCAAAAATAAGCATTGGAATATTAATATTTGAACTAAATTTAACTTCATATTCATTTAATTTGTTTAAAATTTCTTCATATTCTACTTTTTTAAAATATCCTAAAATCCATTTTAAAACTTCATTAATTCCATTTCCAAAATCTTTTGAATATTTTCTAAATAATTTAGGAAGTAATATTTTTTTTGATTTTGTACTAATAATAACATTTTTTTCAATAAATGTTTTTGTTGTTGTTTCAAGTTCTTCTTCATAATTTTGATTATAATATACTCTAACTGGTGATCCCATCCAAAAATTAACAATTCCAAAATGAATTCTTGGATCTAATTTCTTAATTGAATAATTACTTCTTTCATCATTTGTTTTAAAATGTTTACTTTTTATTCCTTTTCCTTGATTTTGTCTTAATATTCCATTTTTAATATCATTTAATGAAAAGAAATATTTTCCAATTTGATATTTAGTTTCATTCATAAATTTATTTTGTGCTTTTTTTTCTCCTGTTGTTCCTTTCAATATTATTCCATGAATAGATAAAACATTATAAATATTGATGAAAAATGGTATTAATTCTTCTGAACTTAATTCATTCAATTCAACATTTTGTAATTCAAGTGTTGCTAATGCAAATCTTCTAAAACTAACTGAATGTGAAACTGAATCAAGTGTTATTGTTTCAGTACTTATCGAATAATTAGCTGAACATATATCAATAATTTTCTCACAAAGTTCTTCTGCAACAACACATGGATGTCTTGATACATATTTATATTCAAATTGTGAATTTAATGCTTTGGATTCTCTTAATCCTTTAGTTATATCAATCTTATTTTAATTTTGATTTTAATTTTAATTTTGATTTTAATTTTAATTTTTATTTTAATTTTAATTTTAATTTTTATTTTAATTTTAATTTTAATTTTTATTTTAATTTTAATTTTTAATTTTAATTTTAATTTTAATTTTAATTTTAATTTTAATTTTAATTTTAATTTTAATTTTAATTTTAATTTGAATTTTAATTTTAATTTTAATTTTAATTTTAATTTTAATTATTTTAATTTTAATTTTAATATTTTTACTTTTTTGATTTGAGGAATATTTTCTAATGTTTTTTTTTGATATCTAATTCTTAATAATTTATATATATTAGAATTAATAAATGCACTCCAAAAATTTTGTTCTAAAATGTTATAAATGTTTTCTTGAAGCTATTTTGATTTTTTTAATTTTATAATTTTTTAATTTTTTAATTTTATATTTTTATAATTTTTTAATTTTTTAATTCAAACCTCATTAAAAATTGTTAATGGTATTTTTTGAGTTGATATCAAATCACTAATTTCATTTCTTTTTTTTGGATTCATTTCAATTTCAAAAATAGAATCTTGTTTAATAAATTTTTCATAAATATTTTTAGCAAATTCATCAACTTTCTATTTATTTTTTAATTTATTAATTTTATTAATTTATTAATTTTTGATTATTGATTAATTTATGATTTTTACATCAGAATTTTCAGAAAGTTTTTTAAATTTTTCAATTTCAATATAAAGTAATAAATTTTCTTGATTAAAATGTTCAACTAAAAATTCTCTAAAATATTCTACTGTTTGTGGATTATTTAAAACACTTATTAAATCTTTAAATGGATTTTCACTCTATAATTTTAAATTTAATTTTTAATTTAAAAAAAAAGGAAATATTATTTTTAAATAAATTTACATTTTCATCAAAAGAATTTTCTTCTATTTGTTGAAATCTTGTTGTTGATGTTGATGTTGTTCCATCTTTTGAACGTGCATCCTATTTATTTTATTTATTTATTTTATTATTTATAAATATTATTTATAAATATTATTTATAATAACAAACTTCTGAAATATCAGAATAAGTATCAGTTTCTAATGAATTTGCTAAATCTGTTTGACTCATATTTTCAATTTCAATTCGAAGTTTATTATTTTCAAATGTTTTCTTTTTCAATTCATTCATTAAAATATTGATTTTTTCTTGAATTGCTTTTTGTGCTTTGATTTCTTTTTGTCTTTGTATTTCTGCTTTCTTTTTTATTTCTTTTTCTTCATTTATTTTTTTCTGAATTTCAATAATTTCATTTTGATATTTTTCAACTTCAATTTCAAGTTCATCTTCACTTTCTGATCTCATTTCAATTTCTTCATTATCTGAAATCATTTCATAATTTTCTTTTTCTTCTTTTTTTTCAACAACTGCTTCTATTCTTTTTTGATTTTCATTTTTTAATTCATCATTAATTTCTTTTTCAACTTCTTCTTCAATTTTTTTGGATATTTCTTTAATAATTTTAAATATTTTATCTTCTTCATTTTCATTTTCATTTTCATTTTCATTTTCAATTTGATTTTCAATTTCATTTTCAATTTCATTTTCATTTTCAATTTGATTTTCAATTTGGTTTTCATTTTCATTTTCAATTTGATTTTGATTTTGATTTTCATTTTCATTTTCAATTTGAATTTGATTTTGATTTTGATTTTGATTTTGATTTTCAATTTGATTTTCAATTTGATTTTTATCTTCAATTTGGTTTTCATTTTCATTTTGATTTTGATTTTCAATTTTATTTTGAATTTGATTTTCATTTTGATTTTCATTTTCATTTTCAATTTGATTTTGATTTTGATTTTGATTTTGATTTTGATTTTCAATTTGATTTTCATTTTGATTTTTATCTTTATTTTCAATTTGATTTTTATTTTGATTTTCATTTTCATTTTCATTTTGATTTTGATTTTGATTTTCAATTTGATTTTGATTTTGATTTTCATTTTTATCTTCAATTTGATTTTCATTTTGATTTTCATTTTGATTTTGATTTTGATTTTGATTTTGATTTTTATTTTCAATTTGATTTTCAATTTGATTTTGATTTTGATTTTGATTTTGATTTTGATTTTGATTTTTATTTTCAATTTGATTTTGATTTTGATTTTCAATTTGATTTTCATTTTGATTTTGATTTTGATTTTCATTTTGATTTTCATTTTGATTTTCATTTTGATTTTCATTTTGATTTTCATTTTGATTTTCATTTTGATTTTCATTTTGATTTTCATTTTGATTTTCATTTTCAATTTGATTTTCAATTTGATTTTGATTTTGATTTTCATTTTCAATTTGATTTTGATTTTGATTTTCAATTTGATTTTTATCTTCATTTTCAATTTTATTTTCAATTTCATTTTCAATTTGATTTTCATTTTTATTTTCAATTTGATTTTGATTTTCAATTTTATTTTGATTTTGATTTTGATTTTGATTTTGATTTTGATTTTGATTTTCAATTTGATTTTCAATTTGATTTTCAATTTGATTTTGATTTTGATTTTGATTTTGATTTTCAATTTGATTTTGATTTTGATTTTGATTTTCATTTTCATTTTCACTTTCTTTAAAATCAGAATCAGGTTCTAATGATTTTATAAATTCATTTGATTTAATTTCTAAATTTTTCTTTTTGATTTTTAATTCTTCAAATAATTGTTTATGATAATCTAATTCTCTTTTATATTTTTTAGATTTCTTGGTTTCTTGATTTAATAAATGTTGGAATTGTTCTCTTTTTCTTTCTGTAACCCATCTTGTTTTAATGATTTCAAATAATTTTTGTTTTTTTTCTAAAAGTTCATCAATTTTTTCTTTTAATTTATTATTTTCTTTTTCTCCAAGTTGCATTTTTAAAGAATCAATTTTCAAATTTAAACTTTCAACTTCTTTATTTTTTGTTTTCAATCTTTCAAGCATTGCATTATATTTCATTTGAAGTGAACCTTTCATATCTGAACTTTCTAAATTTTTAATTTCAAATTTAAGTTTTTTGATTTTCAATTTGATATTTTCAATTTCTTGTTTATAATCTTTAGTTTTTTTTGCAGCTTTTTCTTCTAATTGTTTCATTCTTTCTGAAGGTTTTGTAAAAACACATTCAATAGCTTTTGAACCAGATAAATTGATTGTTGTAATAAATACATGAACAAAAATTGGATTTTTTTTAGCTGTTAAACATTGAAAATCAACATCAATAGTTCCACTTTGTAATCTTTTATTTAATTTTTTAATAAATAATAAATAATAATAATAATAAATAATAAATAAAATTTAATTAATTATTTATTTATTTACTGAGAAACAGCATCAAGTAAATCTTGAATAAATTCTTTTGTGCTTTTTTTGGGAATATCTTGAAATTCAACTGTTAAATTTGATAAAGATTCTTTTAATAAAAATGAATCATTTGGAACTTCAAAAAGAATTTGAGCTTGTTTATTTGCTTCAATTATAACTCCATTTGAAAGAAATAAAATAACTGGTTGTTGTGATTCATGTATTTTCTTTCTATATGATTTTAATTGATTTTTTTTAATCATTTTTTTACTTTCAAAATTCCCCATTTTAAATTTTTAAATTTTAATAAAAAATAACAAAAAAAAATGAAAAAAAAATGAAAAAATTTTAATTTCTTTTTCAATAAAGATCCTTTCTATTTAATAAAACATAATTGATTAAATTAAATAAATAAAGTTTTTGTAAATTAAATTTTAAAATATTTTTTAATTAAAAAAAATCATAATTTAAAAACTAAAAAAAGATTTTTTTTTAATTAAAAAAAAAAGGAAAAAAAAATAATTTAAAAAAAAAAATATAAATTAAAGTGCATCGTCCGGGAATCGAACCCGGATCACAAACATGGCAAGCTTGTATTCTACCACTGAACCAACGATGCTTTTATTAATTTAAATTTTAATTAATTTTTCTTCTTATTTTTTAATTTTTTAAAACATATTTATTTATTTAAATATTTAAATATTTTTATTAAATTTATTTCATTAATTTTAATAATAACTAATAAATAAAATATAAATATTTTTATTAAAGCCTTCCCCGCAAGCAAAAATATTTTGTCATTTTTTCCCCTTTTGAAGTGACAGCTGTCACTTTGAAAAAAAAATAAAAAAAAATAAAAAATTTGATTTTTCCCCTTTTTATTAAAAAAAATAATTAAAGAATAGATCAAAAAAACATCAATTTTTTCTATTTGGAAAAAGAAAAAGAAATACTACTTTTTTTTTATTTGGGACAATCTCCATAATTTCATAATCCAAAACTTTTCAAACAAATTTTTATCTTTTGGAAAATTTTGTTGAATATTTCTTCATTTTGGTTCTTTTTTCTATTCTGTTTCATACAACTGAACTTGATTATTGAGAAAAGAAATTGATGAGAAAAATTCAATTAATGATATGAATAAGAAATTTATGAGAATTCAAAAGATAATTGTTTTGATCAATTTTTCAAATTTTTTCTTTTTTCATTTTGAAATATATTAATTTTAACTGAATCCAATACAAAATTCAATTATTTCCTTCAACAAAAATTCTTTATTTTTTCTTTGTAAAAGATTTTGAAAAATAAAAGATGTGAAAAAATGATTTGAAAAAAAATCAATTTAACGTTTAAAAATTAGAGAGATTCATCAAAAAAGAAAAAATGAATTGTGCCGATATTTTTTGGGGTGATTTTGTATTATATCTTGAATGAATTCTGGTGATTTGAATAATAATTGAATTCTGGTTGATTTACAAATACATTTTAGGATCATGAATCTAAATCTGACAGCAAGTGAATGGTTGATAATTTCCACTGCTTTTTCAATAGGAATTTTAATAGTGAAAATCAACCATAAAAAAAGTAGTACTGAATTCCCGCATTGGGCGCCATCTTCTTGGATTTTTTTCTTGACTAGTTCTTCAATTTCATAATTTTCATTTATGCGCCATTTAATATACTGTTTTATATGATTTCCCATATCTTCTACTTCCTTTTTTGCATATTTTGGAATAGTGTTATATAAATAGATTTTATGAAATTGTTTATCAATCAAAAAACACACATAATGATGATTAGTCAAATATATTATTGGTATAATATCTAAAGGTTCCTTTTCATCCCATTTCATCAATCTTTCGCATTCTTCAAAATTAAATAATATTGTTCTTAATTGCTTCCAACCATCCACTCCTTTCTCAAATTCTATTAACGATTCAAACAATTCAATTTGGTTTCTGAGTTCTGGAGACATCAACCAATTAGAAAAGACATCTATTTTGTTCATTCTCGGTCGATTTTCAACGAAATTGTTGAAATGGTCAATCAATTTGGGATAACTTTTTTTTGAAGCTTCTAAAAATTTATCAAAATCTTCATAAATTTGATTTCTTCTGTTTTTGAATGCTTGAAAATCTTTGTATTCTTGATGTAATTTTTGGATCGTGGGTTCAAAATCTAATCTGGTAAATTCTACATCATTTTGATATTGAGGATATAAAAAATTTACTAATCCAATAGACAAATCTTGAGACTCCAGCATTTGCTCTAAGTCCCATCTTTTCCACCATGATCCTTGTATCCCACTTGGAAGATACAGATTAATGGGGTTATCAATTAAATCATTCAGAAATCTCTTTTATTTCTTCTCTTTTGTTGTGTATATAATCTTCCTCAAGGAGTTGAATTTCTCTGGGTTTGGGAAGTTGAATATTTTGGATAGCATTATGATTGTTTGTTTTTGTTTGAATGGGAACGTCATTTTTATTATCGATTTTACTTTTTCTTGATAACAATGAAGGATTTTGATTGGAAAAAATGTGCAAATCATGTATATTGGGACATGAGTTCTCTGTTTCCTTTTGAGTTTGTTTATGAGTTTCTTTTGGATTTAACATCTCCAAAGCATCTTTGAAATGGATTTGAAATGTAGGAAGCAAGGAATAGTTTTCAAAATCAAACAAATTGGGTTGAATCTTACTTAATAAAAATGTTGAGATCAAGTTTTTTTTTGTTTTTAAACTTGCTTCTTTTTTTGGTGACTTTCTACTTCTTTTTTTTTCTTTTTGAGGAGGGACAATTTCTTCTGAGCTATTTCTTTTCTTTTTTTTGATTCTTGAGAGAGTTAAATTCTTCAAATAAGATGTACTTTTTTGAAAGATACCTGGTAAAGAGAGATGAAGTAATTCTTTTTGCCATTCCATATCTTTTTCTTTTTTTTGATTTTCTTGTAATGCATTTTTTTCATTGAATTCAATTTCGTTTTCTTGGTTTCCTAAATTTATTTCCTTTTCATTTTCTTTTTCCCTATTTTGGTTCCAATCAATGATGGCAAGTTGATAAAGAAGATTATAATTTTTAAAATGACTTATTTTTTCGCGATAACCGTTTAAAGTGCTGAAAAAGGATTCGTTGTAGCTTGTGGATAAAAAATATCTACAAAAAATTAATTTTTTAATAATGGTGAAATCAGAAAGTATCATTTTGAAGAATGCTTCCTCCTCTTTGTTTGTAATTTTTTTATCTTCAGGATGTTTATTTTCGTTTGAATTTTCATTTTTTGTGCATGGACTATTTTTTGGGCAAAGGGAATGATCGCCTTTAGCGTGGAGAAAATATCTAAACCATTCAGATAATAAAGTCGTCATATCGCCTTGGCAAGATTTTGCACATCTTAGAAAATGGAAAATTATAGATTCTTTCCATGACATCAAATGTTCTTTTTTTTTTCGCATTTTCTCGCTTTCTTCTTTTGAGCGTTTCTTTTTATTTGATCCACAGAATTTGTTAACAAGTTTGTTGTATCTTCTTCGAATTGATCTAGTTACGTGCCAGGGATCTAGTAAATGCATGATATTCGGGAAACACTGTTTAACTTTAGATGAGGTATTCTGGTCATGAACCGTGGCAAGGATATTGTATTTCTCCGAAAGCTTTTGTATTCCTTTGGGAATCAAAAATCCCTCTAAACTTTGTGGATGGATGGTTGAAGTTGAGCTCATTCTTTGGTAATGTATAATTCTGTTAAATTTTGTGTTCGCTTCAATAAAAATTGCGCATGCATCTGCAGCTCGGTTATTCCGATGTGAATATGCTACATCATGAGAAAAAATCGAATCTATTTTTTTAGTGGAATCGATTTCTGGTTGAGATTCATTCTCTATCTGTTGATTTGAATTATTCTTGTTCTGATCTTTTCTTTCGATTGAATTTTTTTTTTCATTACTTATGACTAATTGATATATTTTTTCTTTGAGGTCTAGAAGGGAAGATGAATTTGTCAATTCTTTATTAATAAATAATTTTCTTGAGGAGTTAGCAATTTTATCAATATCTTTATCAGATATAAAGTGATTTTTCATATGTTCCATGGTTTGTGTTGAAGAAGGATCAGTAGATTGTTCTACTTCCTCTGCAGATAAATCTAGAATTGATTCTGCCATACTATTAACTATTGGAGCTAATTTGATTTTAACTTCATCGCAATAATCTTGCAACCCATCTTGTGTCTTGATTTCAAATAAGTTGAGGAATCTATAAAATTTTGAAATACTGATTCCTACAATTTTTGTCCCAATATTAAATGCAGATCTCATTCTGCGATCGTTTTCATATAGTTTTCTGAATTTTTTAATTGATTTAGATTCAATTTTTGTTTTTTCCTTTCCTTTTCCCATTTCATTTTGATTGTTTTCATTTTGATTGTTTTCATTTTCACCATCAAGTGAGGTTTGATTTTGAGAGAGATTTTTGAGTGAATCTCTTTTCATTTGTTCTTCCTCCTTCTTTTTTTCCTTTCTTTTCGGTTTAGTAATTTTCCAATAATATACACTATCTCTCAAATTCCCAATTTTAATCTGATTTTTTTCCACTTGTGTTTTTAAATCTTGATTTTCTTTTGTAAGTTGATACATCAAATGTGAGTGGATTGTGATTTGTTGATTCTTCAAATTTTCTTTTTCCTTTTGAACTTCACACAGATTTTCTCTAAGTTCCATTTCAGTTCTAGCGATGCTGTCACATTTTTCATTGAGGATATTCACCCAAGAGAGAGTTGTTTTCAATTGTTTTTTGACTTCTTTATAAATTGAGAATTGGTGATTGATTTCTTTTTTTTGTTGTTGAACCAACTCTTTTAAATAATCTAATTCTTGTTTGAGGCAGCTATTTTCTTCTTTGATATCCTTGTTTTCCTGAATAAATTTTTTCTGAAAAAAGATGGAATGAGAAAAAATTAAAAAGAAGCAAAATAACTAAAATATACCATTTTTAAATTATCTCTATAGCACCGATTACATATTTTATTACTTTTTCTTCTTGGAGTAGATTCTAATTTCAAAAATAATTCATTTTTGGATGGAACTTGGGCTTTAGGGATTTTTTTTTTCCCACAAATATAACAAGTTATTGCTTTCATGTAAAAAACGAATTAAAACAAAGATTTGAAAAAAAAATAAAAAGATAAAACAGAATAAGAAAATAGAAAAAAAGAAAAAAATTTTAAAAAAATGTCAAAAGAAAAATGTTTTGTGATCTTGTTATTTTTTTTTTATAAAATATTTTTTTTTATTTAAATAGTGTTTGTCAACAAATAAGAAAAAAAAGTAAGAGAAAAAAACAAATAAAAATAAAAATAAAAGAAGATTAATGGTTGAAATCGACAAAATAAATGATCAATGAGTTGATATAAAAATTTGAAAAAATGCCAATTTTTTGATCAACAAATAAGCATCCCATTTCTATAAAACACGAAAGTTTTTGAATTTATTTGAACCTAAATAAGAACATAAAATAATCTATAAATTAAGCATGTTGAAAAAAATAGGACCAGATTCTGAAAGTTCTGCAACAATAGAAATTATTGATTTCAATAAAATTTTAATAATTTTTTTCATTCTT